GGTTTAGAAAACTTGACCTATGAGAAGTGGTGGATTATCCAATGGACCCAGAACCCTGGAGCCTTGGTATAAGCTGCAGGGTGCAGGGGAAGCCTCAGTGCCCTGACCGCAGTCCCCGGCAGAAGCACTGGGTGAGTGGGAGGGGCGGGAGAAGTCCCAGCTCCCCAACTCTGGTCCCCCACAGAAGTGCAGGACGGCGAGGGAAGCCCCAGCACTAGGACCATGGCTGAGGCCCCGGGACTGGAGGAGCTTTCACTCCCTGCTGCGGCCCTGGGGCCATGGAGGAGGGACAGAGTTTCTCTTGTCTTGGGGCCGCGGGGTGGGGTGGGGGGCAGAAATGAGCAAACGGGTTGCGGGGCTGCAGCGGGGGAGAGCAGAATGGGGCCAGACCATGGGTGGAACAGGGCCGGGGCCATGGGAGAAGGGGCAGAATGGGGTGGAGCCATGGGTGTGTCCGCAGGTAGAAGGGGTGGGGAGCCCCCCCACTTGCTTGGGCCCAGGAAACCTTAATCTGCCTCTGCCTATGAGGAAAGCTTTAAAGTACAGGTGTGATGCTGTATGGAATACATGGGACACTTTATGATATTGTTGATACCTATATTATATAATTGCAAGGAATCTGACAGATATGCCATGTGTATCTGCGAAAATCTTATAATTTGCCAAGTATGATAATGTTGTTTTTATGTTTGTATCACCTTTGTAGTACAAGTTATAGATATGTATAGTATATCTGTATTTCCAGACTTGTGCTGTGTTTCTGGGTTACAACCCCACACAGATTGGCATCAACACTGCCTAGCCTATTTGATGGCCCATCACTGGTCATCATGTGTACAACGAACCCATTGAAAGGAAAAGGGGATACACCTTATAAGTCAGCAAGGCGTGTGGTATGCCTATGGACAGAAATTTAAGGCTTTTCCATGCCAGGTGCTGTAAAGCTTGTGTTTGGGACACAGGAAGTACAAACCAAATGGCAAAAGACCATAAAAGGCAGCTGCATCATCTCCATTTTATCTTCATTCCTGCTTCCTACCTCTGGAGCAATTTTTCTACAAATGAAGCTCTGAACAAAGGACTGAATGCCCCATCCAAGCTGTGGATGTGTTCCAGAGGGACTTCCAAGCCAGCAAACTCACCAATACTGCTAAGAACCTGATATATAGACTTTGATAGTCTCTGTATGCATCTGACTACTTCTTGTTCTTCCTTTTTTTCTTTATAATAAACCTTTAATTGTAGACACTAAAGGACTGGCTGGCAGAGTGGTATTTTGGGTAAGACGAATCTAATATTGACCTGGCAATGTGGCTGGCCCTTTGGGGTTCAGAAGAACATTTTGTATTGTGAGCAGAGGTTTTTAAACAACTTCTCACTGCACTGGACCCAGGTGCTGATTGGGAGCCAGAGAACTGGAATGCAATAAGGAAGCTGTGCAATTTCTTTTTTGACTTCTTGATAACAAGTGTGGAAGATCAAAAGTACAGTTTGTGACTGGTTGGTGAGTCAAACTTCAGCTTAACCACCAGTTTTGGTAGAATCTGCTCTCCTTTTGCAACCTGCCCTGACCTGGGCATTTTCAGTGAGGGCTACCCCTGGCACCCCGGGTCACACTGGGCATATTTAGTTTTGAGAAAAGATGACTGAGGAGGACCTAATAATAATCTTGAATATGTTAAGGGCTGTTATAAAGAGGACTGTGATCAATTGTTCTCCCTGTCCAAAGGAGGTTGAACAACCACAAAATGGGGAATAACTGGCTAGGCAGTAGTACTGCTGAAAAGGGCCTGGCAGTTACAGAATCCCCCATCACTGGAGGTTTTTAAAAACAGGTTGGACAGACACCTGTCTGGACTGGTCTAGGTTTCCTTGGTCCTGCCTAAGCTCTGGGGGATGTATTTGATGACCTCCCGAGGTCCCTTCCACCTCCACATGTTTATGATTCTATGTCAGTGGTTCTCAAAGCTGGTCCACCGCTTGTTCACAGAAAGCCCGTGGCGGGCCGGGCCGATTTGTTTACCTGCCGCGTCCACAGGTTCGGCCAATCGCAGCTCCCACAGGCTGCGGTTCACTGCAGGCCAATGGGGGCTGCGGGAAGTGGCACAGGCTGAGGGATGTGCTGGCTGCCCTTCCCGCAGCCCCCATTGGCCTGGAGCAGCGAACCGCGGCCAGTGAGAGACGCGATCGGCCGAACCTGCGGACATGGCAAGTAAACAAACCGGCCCGGCCCGCCAGGGGCTTTCCCTGAACAAGTGGTGGACTGGCTTTGAGAACCACTATTCTATGTGACAATATGAATAACTATGATATTAAATAGATATGGGCAAGCACTGTCTGGGAATTCTTGACCCAATTAACTGTTGTAGAATTCAAATCTTCCAAGCACGGGTGAAACTTTTGAACTTCATAATATTGAGATATAGTAGGGGGTTAGTGTGGTTGGAGTGGCATGACAGCAAGATGTCAGTTGTAGTGCTAGTATGTGGGGAGGATTAGATTGGGAAGGATTAGACTGGTGAGAGGCAGGGAGGGAAGACAGGAGAAAGTTATAGTAATGTATGTGAGAACTTGGAGTTTTGGAGAGAACGGGTAGGTTTTAGCAATGCAGTTACTATAGCAATTACAGGAACAGTACATCAATGTTACAATTTACAGGATGTTGAAAGGATTGATGGCTAGCTTTCAGACTTGAGTAGGGGAAAAACATGAATGGAAAACCACCACACCTAAAACTCATATTTCTGTTTCATTGCTCTTCAGCATAATGGTTTTGAACTGCATGTTTTTACTTCTACAGAATCTATTTTAAAATGTCTTACCATCACAAAGGCAAAACCTTAAAATACAGTTACCCACCAAATAAGTTGTTAGGAAATGAGCATTATCTCTTTCAAGAAACTGGTTGGCCTATCACAGAAAATATTTTTAATGAATATATGAGATTTCTATGGTAAGGATTGTTTTATATGCTCAAATTCATATGATAGCCTGTTACTGGCTCTGAACCATACCTTTCCCTTCCACATTACTGCATTTCCCCATTCTCCTTCATCATGGTTAGTTTGTGACAATGTTTGCATGTTTATTTATTTTAAATTTAAATTTTAGTTATCTTTTTTTCACTTGCCAGTTTTCTCTCCCTCTATCTGACAGCCTGTTCTCTCTCTTTCCACCCCTAAGTTTATAAAGCATTTCCTCTCTCAGGTATGGGGAACTACTGCATTATTTCAGATCTCACTATGTGAGAACAGCTGATGAATTTTTAAGGGAACCTCACTTTATAATTTTTTGGTTTAGTTTTTCTATTCTGCTTTTAAAGTTAACTTTATCATTTGTAAAGGATTCCAGACTGTCACCATTAGAAAGTGAAGCACACCATTTAATCAATAAAGGGGAATGATAGAAATTCAGCATGTTCAGATTTCATATGCACATTCACTGTGTGCCTCAAACACAATGTGGTGGGAACAATTCTAGAAGTCAGACAGCAGTTCATTCTCCTTGTTCATTTGTTCCTTGGCATCTCTACCAACAATGCCAACAAGGGTGTCAGCTGTGTTGCATTTTTTTCATATGGACACAAGTCCACTTGAAAACTGGACTGAGAGCACCAAGTCATCTCATTCTACATAAGCCACCAAATCAATGATCAGATAGTTCATCACTACCAACCTAGGACTGGCTTTGTCTAGTGACCTAGTTGTGAAAGACTCCATCATATCCTATTACCAGTCCCATGAGCTAGCTAGTTTACAGTAAAGAGGGATTTTTGGTATGAAGGACGATATAAAAATATTTTTTTTTTGTATAACACTGTTAAAGAAAACTTGCATTTTCTAGAGAATATAATTCTCAAATTATTTTTATTGTCACTTTTTTCTTTCCTCTTTTGAATACTCATTTGACCTAAATTCAATTAGAGTAAACACGCCAGGGATCCATAACCTGGAACAGACCAGGGTGCACATTCTAGTTTGCTGAACTGCAAATCAGATTCAAGTCTGTCTATTCTTGAGTATCTGAGGCATGGTATCTGAGGCTGCCACGCAAAGTTACAAAAGGCTTCCAATAATAAACTACCTGTCCAAACACACTGTATTTCAGGAATATGTATAGCTTTATCCTAGTTTAGTTGCAATATAAGGCTCATCTAAAAATCAAATAGATGGGGCTTGATCCCACAAACACTTATGCACATGGGTAACTTTTCTTCCAGGCATAATTATGTGTAGGGTTGTCATAAAAATTGTAAAAAAAGATACTGCAGCTAAAATCCTTTTGCTCATCCTATATGAAAGTTCTCTAAACAGATAAATGGAAAATGTATCTATAACAAGGGTTACTCTTCCCTGAAGACCAGTGGAAACTGTAAATATATTATTTACAATAGTGGGTTGTGAAAAAGCAGATACTATTACCAAACATTATAGAAGCTACATTTTCATTAGTACTTCATCTTTATAATTATCTTGTTCCAAACAGTGAGATGCCCAAGTTAATGCCTCAGATACTTTTACTCTACTTATTCAAAATTATGCTTGTTCATAAAAGCAGTGGATAAGGATCCTAACAAGGTTAATTAAACCCTCAATAATAAACACAGTGCACACAGAAATGTACTTGATAAAATTTCCATTTAGTATGCTGTTTTTATACACTGTTTTACAAACATGCACTATTATATCATTTTGAACAGTGGGTGATGTACTTTTAGGATAGAAGTGTTGTTTCAGTATCAATTATACACTACCTTTCAGAATTCCAGATTCCTCTTAAATGCTAAACGTTTGCACAGCAACTATCTACTTTGGTCTATACTGTAATTTAATAAAGACCATGTTGTTCCCACAGCAGGGGAATGATCATTTATTCATGTTTGAACTATCCATTTATAATAGATTTGCACATTTCTCTCAATGTGAAATGCAGTAATGTTTACAACCCCTCCCCCTCTTTTTTAACATTCTGGAATGAAAAATGGTTTTAATTAAATATACCTTGATAGGGAGCACTAAATCCAGGGTATCGGTGGTTGCTGTCCGTTACAAAATGAAGTCTGAGCCAGTTTTTGTTGCTGATAATTGGAGGGGGTATATTCATTCCAGATAACCTGAGTCATAAAAGACAAATGAAATAAAAATAATTAATGGAGGGGAGACAGAAAATACCATCAGTGCTGAAGACCTGGAGTTCTTTTATTTTTGAAGTTTGATAAAAATCCTTATTTTTAAAGAGCGAAAAAAAAGCTTTATTCTAAACATGCTCTTATTCAGATACTATATGTGTAACTCATTGAGACAATGAATATGCCTTTTTATTCCATGAATGAATATGATCTGTAACTCATGAATGGTAAACCTATGACAAGTGTCTGTGTTTCCCTAACAAATGGAATCAAGAGGCACATTCTGTATACTATCCGCACATGGGGTACACTGTCTATCCAAGGTACTGTGTACCTTGTACTATAGTATCGTAACACCTCAAATCTTTAATGTATTAATCCACACAATTCCTGTGGTAAGGAAGTGCTATTATCCTCATTTTCCAGATGGGGAACAGAGGCACACAGGGCTGGATTTTTAAAAGTATTTAGGTGCCTATTGAGATACAGATATACTGCAAGTGGGATTTTCAAAAGCACTTAGGTGTCATTTGGGAGTTAGGCACCTAAACACTTTTGAAAATACCACCAAGTGCCTGCCTGCATCTTTAGCTGCCTAAACACCTTTAAAAATACAGTGCAGAGAGGCTAAGTGACTTGCCCAAGATCACACAGAAAGTTCATGGAACAGCAGAGAATTAGCCCAGGACTCCAGAGTCTCAGGCTAGTGCCCTAACTACTGGACCATGCTTTGTTCTTGACACTCTACATTATGTTTTAATTCATGCTCAGAAGTCCCATTAATTACAATGAGAGTTATACATGGGCTCCAGGTGGTTCATGTCTTGTTTATTCCTAAACACACAGATATTCCTCTGTTGGCCAGTATTTTATTCCAGCCAAAGTTACCATCTTACATTCAGACACTATGCATCCCTCTTCCAATTCAAATACCTCTCTACTACCTGTATTGAAACTATTCAGGCTTTGTGTTTGGCAGAGTGAATATGATTCTATTTTAAACAGTCATGAAGTCTTAACTAGTAAATAGCTGCATGTGACACTTTGGAAGAAATGTATTTTGTAAGTTAAATATAACAACTACAGCTGAAATTTCTGTTCTATGGGAAATTTTGACTTGTTTCCCTCCAATTCTAAATTTTAACAAAAAGCTGAAATTTTGAAGTTTGCCACAAAATGAAAATTCTGAAAATTTTTATTCAAGGGGATCAAAACATTTAATTTTGACTATCATTTTGATTCATTTCATCTTCAATTTTATATTAAATCATTTAACATAATGTATTACATATAGGTAATAAATATATAACATTAAAATAGTATTGTTGTATAATGTAAATTCAAAATGAATCAGAACTATAAAGTGAAATATTTCAACACAATCAGAACAAAATTTTTCACATTTAAAATTGTGTTGATCTGGGTTCTTGTCCTCACAAGGGTACCCCTGAAGAGCTCCATTGGTTTGCCTTAGGGACAATCTTTATCATATTATAAAATCAAAATAATCTCTGGTATATAATTACTGTATTACTGCAGAAAGAACTGTGACAGAATTATTTCTTCCATAGCTGGCAAAAAAAAAGTATTATCTGGGAGCTGTTATGCAAAGACAAAAAGTGTGTTAACTTTTTATAATATCAACATTTTTCTGCAACACTCTATAGCCTTAAACTCATGTAAGCTGTGCAGATCAAGGTAACATGTCTGATAACAAAATAAATTTAAATTGCCAAGTTAATGTTTTGGATTAATCATTTTGTCATCTTTTTTTCTCTTTTTAACAATCTAGGCTGAGATCTGGGCATGGCACAGCATGGAGACTGCATTTATAACTTGGCTGATAATCCTCTTCTTACACTGAGCAGAGGTCAAGTGTCACGCTGATTTTTTATTAAATTGTTCAGCATTGTTTGATACAGTTGCCATAATGTGCTGTACACTAATCTGTGGAAGTTAACATAGAGTTGGATCTGCTTGATAACAGATCCAGTCATTCCTTTAAAGGAGGACCCAGAGGACTGTCATAGACCACTATTCAGCCTCCTAGGAGTTTTCACATGCGCTGTTGTTCAAGAAGTCAATCTTCTTTTTTATGAAATGTGTCTGACCATCTATTACAGTTAAATGTTATATATGTGAAATATGAGCCTATTCTCCTTTTTCAATCCACCCACGCAAAAGAAAGCCTGAGGGAATAGACAGGCTTTGCAGCATGAGCTGAAGCTCAACATTTTTTTTTTTCGAAACCCAACTGTAAGGATCATTGGAAGCCACTCCGGAGGTGCTCAGGAAAAATTGCTTGTGTCCCAGCCAATCTCACTTGCTAAGATGAAGCAGGAAGATGAGACAGAGGCAGTCTTTAAAATGAAGACATCCCATGCTGGAAGGGCATAATGAATGGGGTCCTGCAGGGATTAGTTCTGGTTCTGGTTAATATCTTCATCAATGATTTAGATAATTGCATACAGAGTACAGTTATAAAGTTTGCGGATGATACCAAGCTGGGAGGGGTTGCAAGTACTTTGCAGGATAGGATTAAAATTCAAAATGATCTGGACAAACTGGAGAAATGGTCTGAAGCAAACAGGATGAAATTCAATAAGGACAAATGCAAAGTACTTCATTTAGCAAGGAACAATCATTTGCACACATACAAAATGGGAAATGACTGTCTAGGAAGGAGTGCTGCAGAAAGGGATCTGTGGGTCATAGTGGCCCACAAGCTAAATATGAGTCAACAGTGTAATGCTGTTGCAAATAAAGCAAACATCCTTCTGGGACATATTAGCAGGAGTGTTGTAAGCAAGAAATAAGAAGTAATTCTTCCAATCTTTTCTGCACTGATTAGGCCTTAACTGGAATATTGTGTCCAGTTCTGGGCGCCACATTTTAGGAAGGATGTGGACAAATTGGAGAGAGTCCAAAGAAGAGTGACAAAAATGATTAAATGACCTACGAGGGAAGATTGAAAAAATTGGGTTTGTTTAGTCTGGAAAAGAGAAGACTGAGAGGGGACATGATAACAGTTTTCAAGTATGTAAAAGGTTATCACAAGGAGGAGGAAGACATTTTCCCCCCTAAACCTCTGTGGATAGGACAAGAAGCAGTGGGCTTGAATTGCAGCAAGGGAGGTTTAGGTTGGACATCAGGAAAAACTTCCTAACTGTCAGGGTGGTTAAGCACTGGAATAAATTGCCTAGGGAGGTTGTGGACTCTCCATCATTGGAGATTTTTAAGAACAGGTTAAACAAACACCTGTCAGGAATGGTCTAGATAATACTTAGTCCTGACACAAGTACAGGGGACTGGACTAGATGACATCTCGAGGTGCCTTCCAATTCTATGATTCTATGATTTCATAAAGGAGCTTAAAATGCTAGCATTTTGAGTGGCACCTAGAAATGTATTGGAAGTCATAGAGAAAGCTACAAATATATTTAGCCCTGGGTATCTCCAAGACCTCCTCTTTTTCCATGCTACCTGATGGCATTTTTCTGTTGTGCTGAACCCCAGTCTTCACAATACTGCTGCCACAAGGCTCTTGCTGTCTGTCTTTAGCAAATGAAATCAGCTGGAACACTCAAACTATCTCTTTATAGCTGAACTGGAATGGGGAGAATGATAGAGGAGTCTCATTGAAGGTGTACGGCTCTGAAATTTACTCCTCCCTGCAATGTGACAGGGGCAAGTTTTGTGATGTTTAGCATGATACAATATACATTTACTCACTCTGTTTTCATCTTTATTTGGGCCCATGGCCAGTGGGTACTTTTCCACAAGAAATTGCAGAGCTGGATCTGATTTGTGTCTGTTCTTGGCAAAAGTTTACTTTAATTTCTTTAATGCATCTAGATACCATGATGATGAGCACAAGATAAATAAAATAAACTACCATGGCTGTCTACACAGATGGAAATATAAGTAGAAAAACATCAATAAAATATGGAAGGTCCTATTATGGAGTCCAGCCCCCGCTAGTGCAGGACACGATTCCCCACTAGAAGACTTAAGAAGAATAAGAAAAAAATACTGTTTATAAAGCAATCACCTCCCAAAGCACTCAATCCACTGTACAGCAACATCTAAACATAATATAAAACCTATCCTCCACTCCAATACAAACAGAAGGGAGAAAATTGGGTGGCATACATGGGTACAAGTGAAAGTAATATTGTGCCAAATTTGCCCCTTGTAAAAAGTACTTGGGAAATAAAAATACTAATATAAGTGGAGAGAAAGAATCGTAAATGATTAAAACTTTTTAAAGAGAATATTTAAAAATTATAGAAACATAAATTGTTGAATAAAAATTATAAATAGCTTGGCCTTGAACGTTCATGTTAATCAAAAATGATAATATGTTGCAAAAGAAGCAAAGAAAAAAGAAAAATTGTATGAGCCGATAATTGCCCAGAGTAAAAAATACAGACAAGGGTTAGTGGTTAAGAATATAACATAGAAAAATACGCTAGTTAGTTAAATCAGTTCAAAGAATCTTTCAGTCTTGTCACTCCACAGTTAGTGTTCTGGATCATATTATCTTCATATTGGCAGCGTCCAGTAATGTGTTCAATATATATGTCCCTCGACCAATGTATGGCATCGGAAACCGTCAATCGCCACATTAGCTTGGCATAGCATCCGGGCAACCTACAGTCCCAGAACACAGTCTTGTTCTTGGGGTCCCAAGTGCCCATTGCTTCGACAATCAACTCATGAACAGTAGTGGAGTATTCCCATTTCCTCATGGTGTCAGCCAAGGGGACATATGTTTCCAGTTTCCATTCTCGTGCCTCAGCGAAGGCAGCGATCTGGTTCTCGAAGGGGATCATCACATCAGCTATGATGATCAGCTTTTGTTCCTTGTCAGTGATCACGACATTTGGTCTTAGGTGGCAGTTGGAGTCCAGAATAGATGAGTTAACAATAACTGTTCCCATTGATGCCAGAATTGTTTTAATGAATCCATTCTGCATGGTGTT